TCAAACATCTCACCACCCACAGTGAGTCCCCATTCACCTCTCACAGTAGGAGTCCCCATACACCTCACCACCCACAATGGTAGTCGCCATACACACCACACAGTGGGAGTCCCCATACACCTCATTACACACAGTGGGAGTCACCATACACCTCACCACCCACAGTGGGAGTCCCCACACAAGCTACACCACAGGTCTCACCATCCAGTGGGGGCGGCCCATACTCTCATCAGCCAGTGAGTGGTCATCACGCCTCACCATCACCCACCTCCTGCGGGCGTAAGTGGCTGATACTTCATTACTTCCTAATCTTAAGTCTAGAATTTCTACTAAACCTCGCTATCAACGCCCTCATCTAGATAACACACTGACATTGGTTGGCTATCGTGTAATCAATTTCCTGTCAACTATTAATTACATGTAGATAGCTTAATCCAAATGACTTACGTAATGCCAACAATAATAAATAAACGAAACGTTTGCTATTTTGAAATTTTCTTGTTTATGTTACAGTTATTGGTCAATCGGCTTCGTGTCACCCATAGTTGGCTATCAACCAATCAGCGTCCTGCCACAAGTAAATTTAAATGTTAACTATCGACCAATCAGCGTTCTAACAATGATTAGCTATCGACCACAGAGCTTATCTAATCAGTTTCTTATCAACGATTAGTTACATTCTCTGATAAACTGAAAAATGTATTTTTGTGTGTAAACATTCTTCCCTGAAACTATTCCACTCGACAAAGTTTGACAACGTAAAAAAAGAAAGAAAAAAGAATTATACTGGATTTCCTGCCATCAGAAAGTGTTGAGCTTAACTAACTTCTACAAAACACGGCTTCCATTATTAATTTTTTGTTCTTCTGTGATTTCAGACGTTATCTGAACGTTCCTTGTAAATTTTAAGTTTACAGATTTATAAAAACCTATGATTAAAAGATGGGGTGGTAGGAGAAGCAGAATGTTTATACAGTTTCTTGATCTTTTAACTACAAGTAAGCTAATAAGACCGGTCGCCACACGTCTGGCAGTGCAGTGGTTGTTCATCAGCAGGAAACGTTGAAAGTTGCACGTGTATCACTAGTGAGAGACTGGATCGCCATGACACAGGGTGAGCCTCTAATACATATCAAAATGTGGTTGGATCATTTGTCATGTGTGTCAGCCAGAAGAGGAGACCAAGAAGCTAGTCATAACAAGGCAGTCAACATTATCATCATCTATTATTCATCAGTAACACCATCACAGCCGTCACTGCCGCAGCCGCCAGAGCCGTCACTGCCGCAGCCGCCACAGCTGTCAGTGAAAGCTCAATACCACAGCTGACCCACCAGTTTATATATACATACTTCATAAAGACCTTCACCTTGCTCCATACAATTATTTTTTTGTTTATAATTTCCCTACAATTAATAAGTAAGAACTGAAGGATATAATAATGTTTATATACTGTAAAATAAATGTGTAGTGTTGATGTGACTAACTCCATTGGCCAACATTAGTTGCCTGCCAAGAGGGAGGCGTTACGATGGAGAACTCAAAGAATAGTTGGGTAAATGTCTTGCATTTGTTGTACACTTATAATTAGTGTAAATCGTGGACCAGCAAATTACATAAGAGTTGTCAAGTCTCTTAATAAATGTCATACAGTCCACAGCCTAGTGTTAATGGCTTAAAAAAATTTCTAGTAATTATTCAGGAACCATATGTTGTTAATTTAAGGTCAGATGTGTGAGTAGGGGGGAGCCGAGAAGGTGGGCACGAAGAAGGAACATTATGGTGACCTAGTGTTCCTTAAGTACTTAAGTGTAATGTTTTTGGTGTGCTGGATCTTCCCAGTTATGTGAGTGAAAGTTAGTTCAGGACTGTACCTACATTCACCCACATAATTTCTCACAGCAGAATGAATTTGGTTTCGGATAGATTATCACACAGGTACACGATGTGAGCGGTGTTGAGGGTTATACCCTGGCAGGCCTTCCTCAGGCTAGACTTTTCCTCTGATCGCCTGATCAACCAGGTTGTTTGTGCGAGCAGCCCGCATAACCATTAACTTGGCATGCTCAGGTACTTCCAAACATTTTAAGAATACACGAGCATAATTACGGAACACTGAAGTATATTTCCCATTAAAGAAACAGGAAGGTAGCTCTAATTCACTGGTACAAGTGCCATTGGTACTCCCTCCTTGATAGGACACGGCACATTGACAAATACATTAAAATATTAAATATTCTTGCAATAACAAACTTGAACAACATGAGCGAGGTATAAACAAACTATAATTCCCAACAGAAACAATTATAACACGCGTTATCATGTATATATGTGTATGAAGCGCTCAACTCGATATGAGAAGCTATTTTTGCAATCCAGTTGTCCTGCACTATAGTGACTCACTGAAGGACTCCCTCCTCATCTCTTGGATCAAAACTCTAACTCCTGCGGGTTTAGCGCGTCCCCAAAAATGTGATAGTTGCATAATGGGAACAAAATCAAACGGTGTGTGTAGGGGGAGAGTGTAGGGTTGAATTAATATTGATAAAACTCGCCCATCCAGCTGCTTTCCTGAATTTCTTGAGGGAAGTTGACCTTCAACAAGCTTGTGATGTTTTTCATATTTTGTGAGAAATTAGACTCGTGAAGAGAAAAGGAGTTACGGCGGTATTTATATAAATAAGTCAAGATCAGAATAAAAGCAAGGAAGTGAAATGTGTTTAAAACAGAAAATAGAAGTTAAAAACTGACTAGGTTTGAACACTCAATTTTTTTTCTCAACTGTGGTTGTAAACAATGGGATTTTTAAAGGCACTAAGTTACAACAATTGGTTTACAGTGTAAAAAAAAACTCAATTTTAAGTTTTGGGATCTGATAAAATTTTAACTAGAGAAAAATTATAGAAAAAAATAAACTTGTTACTGGTAGAAAATCTGGCAGCTGTATTATCAGCTGATTATCTTCCTTAACTTCAAATTACTGAGAAACTGAAGGTAAAGCTGCTTCATGACACCACAGGTAAGTATAACTCTTAAATTAATTATATTTAATATTTACACACACAAAACATTGGGTTATGTAACTGAAAAGGGGTTAGTGTTACATTTTAACTATGACCATTGAAAGAATAAGGGAATATATGATCAATACTATACACGTGATAGACAGGCATAAATAAAGGATATAAAGAGGGTTCTGAGGATATCTATTCAATTAAGAACTAAATAATCTTTATTTTTATCAGCATTTCTTTCGAAATCGGACTGAACGTCTATCTGAAGTTATATTATTTTTAATATGTCATTATACTTTTCTAATCAAATTACTCTTTGTTAATTTAATTGCAGGAACAAGTTACTAAGAAACAAGGGAAAGTAAAGAGAAGTGTATACTGAAAGTAGAAATTTGTATGATTTGTCTGCCTTGTATGTTCACGAGACCAAGGGAAGACCAGCAAGTCTCAGTGTAAAACTTTTAACAGCCTTCAGTTTCACACTGAGGACAGAATGGTAGTACGTCATCGGATATTTGATGTCTACTAACTTTATCCCTGCTGGTGGTAAACTCGAAACATCTTTAAAAGTGAACACAAACGGGAGAATTGATCGAGCCGAAAAACAAAACCTGTAATTTGTAAAGTTAAAGGCTTATCAAATATGTCAAGCAGTCGCTACTGTTATGCTCTAATGAGACATGCAACACCTGGGTATCTCCAGCAAAGATTCCCAGGTATCGCATGCTTGTCTTATTCATCAACTTGTCGATAGCGTACATCATTCTTGCAGTGATACTGCCGTGGCTCACCAGAAGCATTTCTTGTGTGTATACCTAAGCTGGCGCGGCAAGGAAACGTAGGAAGCGTGGAGAACAAAGTTCCGGATAGAGCAGCTAAACTGCTGACGGTCACGGCCAGTAGTAGGTGGCAATAGTAATGACTGTAATAACTGCCAGACAAACAACTTGTGATGAGCGCCAGAGAGAATCATGGCCAGGGTTGGTTGCGGTTGTGGCGAGACCAAACACTACAGTGCGCACCATCACCTTTATACTAAACTGCTAAATTGTCTACCGCTATGTCTACTATTTGCAGTACACTGTAAAACTTAAGTGTTTATATACACACTGAGGTGTGTATGTAAGCACATGCACATAGGTTGGAAGTTGAAGACTCAGATGAATCAAAGGGATGTTAGGAAGTATTTCTTCATAGTAGTCAGGCCGTGGAATAGCCTAGAAAGTGACGTAGTGGAGGCGGGAACCATACATAGTTTTAAGGCGAGGTATGATAAAGCTCATAAGGCAGGGAGAGAGAGGACCTAGTAGCAGTCAGCGAAGAGGCGGGGCCAGGAGCTATGACTCGACCCCTGCAACCACAAATAGGTGAGTACACAGGTTGGTATGTGTATATGCTCAGACGTGTACACTGCAGCTTATCTGTAACGCACTTTATACACTCACCTAGAGGTATGTATATATACACCGTGTGGTATGTAACTTGTATACAGCAAAGTTAATAACTTTTAATTTAAAATATTAGATATAAAAATTCTATATTAGTGTGCAGGTGATTTGTATCCTTTATACCTAGCAAACTAAGTCATTATTCTTTGCGATTATTTGAGGAAGACTAATATTAACACTGGTAATGAAAGAAACAAAACTGGCGACTCTTGATTAATTCAGGCTAGTGAATATAAGTTATGACTGAGAAGTAGCATCATCAGTACATATGATGGGGTCCTGGAGGCCAATAATAGTAAAACCGGTTAACGAGTGTCAAGAGAAGGGGGGGGGGGATCATTCCACTCTTTCAAACACAAGTACGCGATTGTTGTACAGGAATTTGTAAATCTGATCGAAGAGGGTAGTAGGAACTATCATTCAACCCATACAAATACAACTAGGCAATTACTGTGCAGGAATTGGTAAAACCGGCCGATAAGAGTTAAGAGGTTCGTAAACAATAAGTTCTTGATGCAGGACTCCCGCTGCATTTTTTTCTATAATGGAGAAGCTAAATTAAACGTAACAAAGCAGCAGCAACAGCTGGAATGAGAGGAGCACTAACCTCTATGTGTTTGATTCTGTCTATAACGGAATCTTCCTTGATCCTCTTGATGAAGGCGTAGCCGGCTCCATTATCGGTGATGGTGAGGCCGAGGGCGTCCTCTGTCTTGGTGATCTCCACCTCCTTCGGTCTACCTGTGTAAAAAAGTGGCGTAGTGTTAGCTACAAGCCTACCCGCTGTACGTGGGCCATTCAAGCTCATTTTAGTTGTGTAAAATTACAGGCATGGGCAAGTGCTAAACTCGTAAGGACTTGTGCATCCCCTGGGGAATAAGGTTTAATCCATGGGAAAGGTAGCTCCAATTTCTTGGATCAAAAGTCCTTCACCATCATCGAGGTGGTGGATGTGAGCTATATATTATCAGAATATATATATATATATATATATATATATATATATATATATATATATATATATATATATATATATATATATATATATATATATACATATATTTGAGACATACCTCAGTGTACACGCATTGATATACCACGGTTTATACACACTGATACAAACGCCTCAGTGTATATATATGTTGAAGATTGAGACACTTATGCAGCATATGGAATCTTTATTCAGGAAACGTTTCGCCACACAGTGGCTTCATCAGTCCAATACAAAGAGGAAGGCGTAAGGAGAGGAGGAGTATGAGGTAATCAGTCCCTCAGCCTGGAGTAGACTCCAGGCTGAGGGACTGATTACCTCATACTCCTCCTCTCCTTACGCCTTCCTCTTTGTATTGGACTGATGAAGCCACTGTGTGGCGAAACGTTTCCTGAATAAAGATTCCCATATGCTGCATAAGTGTCTCAATCTTCAACATATATATACACTGAGGCGTTTGTATCAGTGTGTATAAACCGTGGTATATCAATGCGTGTACACTGAGGTATGTCTCAATATATATATATATATATATATATATATATATATATATATATATATAATATATATATTATATATTATATATATATATATATATATATATATATATATATATTTATTCTCCATGAGGAAGTGGAACAGAATTCTTCCTCCGTAGCCATGCGTGTCCTAAGAGGCGACTAAAATGCCGGGAGCAAAGGGCTAGTAATCCCTTCTGTATACATTAAAGTTAAAAAGAGAAACCTTTGTTTTTCTTTTTGGGCCACCCTGCCTTGGTGGGATACGACCGGTTTGTTGAAAGAAGATAAAGATAAAGATTATATATAATATATAAATATATATATTACTGGTATACGCTTCATAATATAGGTAGAAACACTAAGAGATCGCTTCATATTCTTCGAGGATACCAAAATAGGAAGGAAAGTCGCCTTGATAGAAGACATTGAAAAAATCGCAAGCAGAGACGAAGTCTTCCAGTGGCAGAGAAAAATGACATGTTGAATGGTGATAAAATATATGGAAAGAATAAATGAACTCGAAAAGCGCGATGGATACAAAATATATGTACAAGAGGCCATTCTCATAGAACAATAGGAACGTATAAATGTATAGTATAATACTGTTGGATGACTTATTTAGAGAACACAATGATAAATGTGGGAAGACCAGAAAAACAATAGATAATGAAAAAATAAAGAAATAATGACAATAGTGAAACTATTCAAGTACCTTTTGCTTTTTTAGAATACTGTTCGATATAATTACATATATTATAAAAAACACGTCACGATGAGGTCATTCATATTTACCTTTTCGGTGTGCAAATATGAAGTCGTCTAAGCCAATCTGTCCCCCTAAAAGTTTGGTCATGTCGACTTTGTGTGTGTTGAGCGTGCAGAACAAAATCTGAAAAAAAAAAATTATATATAGTGACGAACAGGATCTGAGTGTCACAAGAACACCACATTTATAAAGTTTCTTGACACAGCATTCCTTAACTCGTGATAACATTTGCACAGTGAATCACACACCACCTGATAACACTGACATTTACACGTCAAAAGCAATGAACTTGCCAACCAAAGTTACTTCAGTCATACCAAAATAGACATATCATTAAGTGACGGGGTAAGAAATACTAAATAGATGTCTCTCAGAGCTGAACAAAGCCTAGTAAGTACCAGAGGTAGGTGGACAAGGAAATGTCAGTCAGGTCGAAAGGCTCCTGAAGTAATTCTGTCCCTCAAAGCAATGCTATCCTATAAAGTATTTCATGGTTACTCGTAGGAGGGGCTCAAGAACGTAGTCAGTTGCTCTCCAGAAATGTAGAGACTAACACAAAGCTCACTCCATACGAGAGCTGATACACAAAAAAAGTGATGAATGTCAACCAACAGAAAGCTTAAGAGACAGGCCCACGAGAAAGATAAGAGACCAGAACAATTGTAATATGTAATTAATTACTAGAAATAGCACAATAAACAGAGGGAGGCTTCTCATTTGACAATGTGTCGCCCTAAACCGTTTTATCAAGTCAATAGGCTTGATAAAGCCTACAACACGTCTAAAAAAAAGCCAACTGCTCCTTGGGTTTTATATTCCTTGTTCGTCGGCTACTCGCTAACTGATCAATTAATTTCTTACTTGAACACACACACCCACAATAGTATGAGAAAATATGAAAAGTGAACTGGTAAAGGGTACTAAAGGACAAAGCTGTACAAGAAATCATGAAGGTGAGAGGTAAGGAAAAATTCAAACCAAGCATGAAGAGAAGAAATAGGAAGAACGAAAAGAGCTCATGGTCTAATCAGGAACACACACACACACCAAGGGGAAGTGTAAGAGGGCTTGCAAACAGTATACAGCAAATCAAATAGTAGAGAACAATGAAATAAACATGAGAGAAACTAATATGCAAGACAAAATGGAAGCTAAAAGTTTGAAAATTATATAACAAAGGCCAAAACTAAGCAGAAGTTGATAAATGAGACATTTGTGGAATGTATGACTATCTTTATTCTGGCAATGTTTCGCCAGCCAGTGGCTTCTTCAGTCAAATATAGAACAGTGGAAGATGAGTTTGAGGTAATGAGGGGTATTGTGCCTTTTTGCTCTTAATCAGGGGCTGCGGGCTGCCCCAAGCCTAGTTGATGAGGTGGTCTGTCATCAGGCCTAGCTGCAAGGATAGAAGAGCTCTCAGCACCTGTCACAGATACGTCACAGTACCACAGCACAAGGTAACCTAAACTATTCTAACACTAGAAGATGGTAGGGGGGAAATATCATGATGTATATTAGAATGGATAGGGACATATAGACATGCGAGGGAGCCAGGGACATTAGATGGCAGCTCAAGTCGTAGATGAGCCATTAAGATGTCAGGAAGCAGGTTTTTAGTCTTATGATGGTAAGTGGGGTAAACTAGACGAAGAATGGAAATACTATAAACAGTTTCAATAGTAGGTATGACTGTGCCATGGAGGCCAGGTGTGGAAATTTTACATAATTTTTCTGACGGTAGAACATATAAATGAATAGTATAATTGCGTAATAAAATGTGATGCTGATTTGGACCCTTCGAGAAATTTTAAGTGAAGTGGGGTGTGGAACAGTCGGAGAGTGACGCAGAGAAGAAACACCATACTGAATTTAATGTGTGAACACTGGACTGAATTGTGCAATGTAATCAGGAGTTCTCGAAGGTCAATTCAAATTCAAATTCAATTCAAATTCAAAGTTTATTCTCTATAAAGATTACAATGTTGAATTTACAGAATTTGGTTGTGTGGTTTACATGTAGTTAAATAATGATTACAGAGTGTACCACTAGAACGCCTAGCATGGCTAGGCATTTCGGGCAGACTTAGTTTAATTCTTTATTTTAAAATATTACAAATTATGAGGTAAGTTGGTATTATGGCTAAGTGACTAAATACTAGTTTGTGAGTTTAGCAATGTGAATGCTTTTGTTTTGGCACAGTACATAGTTTCAGTATTGGAGTATCATAGGATTCATTATTTTAAGATTGAGATTAATATTTCTGTTTATGGTCAAATGGGTGAGTGAAAGTGTGAACCACCAGGTGGTATTCGTGTAGTAATTGGTGTATATCGGCCTCGATCCAAAATTTAGAAATTGCTGACACGTTCCTGCTGAAGAATTCGGATAAAGTGTGGAAACCCCTTACAATTCGGCAACAAGGACGAAAAAATGAGGACACCCATTATCCCAGGAGCACACCTTAGGTAAGTGGCGCTTACCCATAACGTACAGTAGTTTTTGCGTTGGCCATCGTAAATTCTAGCTGTAGTGGTAGCGTTAGGATGTTTCCAAAAAATAATTATGATCCAATAATTAAATGGTAAGTGGTAATACGAATGTCCTTTCTAATAACACTTTTATGTACAATAATTATATTCCGTGTACCCAGCAAACCTAATAATATATAGTCTACACAACTTCAATTTACCAAAGTAGCTGATTTTAATATTGTAATTAGTAATTTAATGTTAGGTCTAGCTTTTTTGTAAGAGTGGTAGGGCGTGGGCATCGAGGGAGTGACAGTTTGGCACCTACTGTGACTAAGTCCCACTTACCTCACCCGTATTTCTTGCAGGAAATAATTCAAGTAATACCCTGTAAACCTCCTGCAGGTAATTTCCCACACCAAGAATCATTAAAGCTTGTCGGTAAGATTCTGAGGGACGTTGCCAGCTGTGAACCAACCCATATATACACAACAGACGACGTACGTATATTCACAACTCGGAACCTACATACACAACTCAGGATGCACATACACAATTCAACACCTACATACACAACTCAGGACGTACATTCACAACTCAGGACGTACATACACAACTCAGGACGTACATACACAAAACTCAGGACGTACATACACAACTCAGGACGTACATGCACAACTCAGGACGTACATGCAGAACTCAGGACGTACATGCACAACTCAGGACGTACATGCACAAAATCAGGACGTACACACAACTCAGGACGTACATGCACAACTCAGGACGTACATGCACAACTCAGGACGTACATGCACAACTCAGGACGTACATACACAACTCGGGACGTACATGCACAACTCGAGACACTCACGGGGAAAATAAAATAATTCATTTTAAGCGCTAAACCCATGTGGGTCATTCAGCTCAAGACATGATGGAAGCGCGTTGCACAGTCTGCTGAGCTCGAGAGAGACGAGCTTCTTATTGTTACTCAACTATATGCACACTCACGAGGAGACAGCTTAATGGCTCTCTCTCCCCGTGACATTAAAAGTGGTATTACAGAGACATTATAGAATTCAGACCATACTTGCTAACCTACACCTGCCAGACTCACATTTGTCATTTCCAACTCCTGCAGGACCAACATGTGTTACGGACTCGCACTTGTCCCTCTCACAACCTTCTGTGGAAAAGGTCATTTATTAAAATAAATGTTTCGCCACGAATTGCTTCATCACGACTGATGAAGCCACGAGTGGCGAAACGTTTCCTTTAATGTGCTGAAGTGTACACAAGTGCGCTTTTCCAAAGTTTGTCGGTAGTACCATACCATTTATAACAATCACAACTTCCTGCAGGCCACACAGTATCATTTCCACACCCGTTACCTCAGACCTGTCACTTCATAATTAATATTGCCATACAATCGGCACTTTCAGAATTACTGTAGGAGTTGAATAAGATTAATTGTTGAGAGTGGACCCAGATGTACTTAACCTCCCCATTTTTCCCTCTCTCCTCTCTCCTCCTCTCTCTCTCTCTCTCTCTCTCACACACGCACGCGCGCGAGTGGTGGAGCCAAATAACAGTTTCACTGATAGGCACGATAGTGCAATGAAGGCAACGTATCAGTAAATTTATTTCTAATAGGGTAAGTGTGGGGCCTGGAGTTACAGCTCGACCCTCGCAGACACAAAGAGGTGAGTACGTGAGGAAACTGTGCACTATCAGGTGTGGACGTGGGTTTGGGGAGAGGAAGAAGTGGTAAGGGAGAGAAAACAGTGGGTGATGGCAGCCGGTGTTGGGGAGGGAGGGGGATGTGGCATGTGACTCAGCAGATATGTATGAAGTGAGACACATTATGTGAAGACGATGGTTCAAGCTCAGTGGAGGAGACACGTAAGGGTAAACTTTACCTCCAAGGTCACTAGCAGCAGAGCTAACAACAGCTAGGTTATGTTAACTTCACCACTAAAACCTTAGCAACAGAGCTAGCACCACATAGGCTAGAGGTCATTTCGCTAGACTAGCAGCCGGCAGATTAGGTAAACATCACCACCAAGATCACTAGCATCAGTTAACTTACAACAGTAGGCAAATCTACCTAATAAGAACAACAACAGACTGACTGCTCAGGCCGAGAACAGGGAAACTTGGTCTGGGACCGGACCGCGTGGGCAATGATCCCGTATCCATCCACCGGAAAAACCAGATGAAGAAAAATAGTGTTGCAAGCCAAGCGCCATATTATTGTGGATCATTCGATGCAATCAGTGGTTCCCAAACTTTTTCAGCTTGTTACCCAATTTAACATGCCACATAAAGCATGTTACCCCTTTCACAAAATGTTGTTATTATTGATATATATGGCTAAATTAAAACACTTGAGATATTTTCTTTTATTTATTGTATTTGAACACTGTGCATCTCTAATGACTATTACCAAAGATGTCAAGAACATCAGTGGGATGGATGGAGTTGCATACTTGAAGCTAGTTTAGGAATTCTTGGCTTCGTGGTTGAAAGTGCCAGCCTGGCATCGTTTGCAACATTCAAGCGAGTCCTCTTTTTTGTTTTCATACCCAGCACAGTTGAGAAGCCCTTCTCGCACAGATACGTTGTTGAGAATGATACCAACAACTTCAAGGCTC